GAGGCACTTTATTACTGAGCTAGATCCCCAGCCACCTCTCCACCTTTTTTTTTTTTTTTAGCTTTTAATGGACTTTTATTTTATTTATTTATATGTGGTGCTGAGAATGGAATCCAGTGCCTTACACATGCTAGGCAAGCACTCTACCACTGAGCCACAACCCCAGTCCCCAAGCCCTTTTTATTTTATTTTGAAGCAGGGTCTTGCTAAGTTGCTGAGGCTGACTTCAAACTTGGATCATCTTGCCTCAGTCTCCTTAGTTGCTGGATTACAGGCATGTGCCGCCGCTCCTGGCTGACATAAGGAATCTTAACCTAGTCATAATTCTTAAAAAGTAACCTCACTGCTGGGCACAGTAATCCCAGAGGCTCAGGAGGCTGAGACAGGAGGATCACAAGTTCAAAGTCAGCCTCAGGAACTTAGTGAGACCTTGAGCAACTTAGTGAGAATCTCTCTCAAAGGAAAAAAAATTAAAAAAAGCAGGCAGAGCTACAGATAGCATCACAAGGATCACCAGCCTAGACAGTGCCCAATGAACTCAGTAACTAAGGACTGAGGACTGATACCCACCAGGGACCCCCAAAGGGCCTGGATACCTGGTAATCAGTGCTGGGCGCAAATATTCACCAACCTCTTCAGACTGGCCAGGGCAGGGGAGTCTTGGGAAGTTTGCAACTTAGAAACCAGAAACCTAAATTATCCTTGGAGAAGCCACATGCCCTAGAGAACATAACACTTGCCAAACTTCAGCTCTTTAATTTAAGCTTTAGTTTGTGACCTTCTGGTCCCCAGGAGTATATATATGGATCCCCGAGGCTACTGTGATCAAAGAAGACAAGATCCATTTCTGGATGTGCTGTGGGCTCCATAACCATGTCATGGTTGGCATGGTTGGCATTCAGGGTGGGCTAAGAACTTTTTCTAAATCAAGTATGGCATCCAGGGTGGGCCAATGACCCCTTCTCTAGGAAAGTCCTGACTTTCCCTACAGTTAGAGGACCGTGAGGAATTACTCTGCTGAATGCTCTCTCAGGTTTAAAGACAGAAATTCTGTGACTACAGGACAGAACAACTATACCCAAGAGGATCCACCAGGAGCTGTGGAGTATGGAACTCCATGAATAAACAGTTAGCACTTATTGAGTGCTTATTGCAGACATTTGCTTTCTCCCTTATATATATTGTGCAGTGTAATCTTCAACTCATTCTATAGGAGTAGGTATTGCTCTCACTATTTTTTTCTCATCTCAGAAATGAGAAGGTCAAGGCTCAAAGAGATTCAGCAACATTCCAGAGCTCATACAATAGGGACGAGGCGAAGTCTCCATCATGGTCCTTCACTATCCTCTCTTTTCTAAAGGAGCAACCTGATCCCCTCTCATGCTTAGAGGTGAAGAAATGGCTCAGAAGTAAGCTGAACTAAGTGAATACAGGATCACTGGCTGAGATCAGAGCAAGGAAACTGCTTGCCTGTGTTTGTGGAAAACATTATAAGCAATACTCAGAAAACATCCAAGAACCCCCAAACGGGCCATGGAGATGCCCCTTCAAACAAAGACTTATTGTCCCACCTTTCAGCTCCTTCAGAGTTTGCCTCAGCTGCAGGGAGCTGTCTCACTCAAGATCTTGTTCTTCCCAGGGCTAAAAACACCTAGCGACAATGGTGATGGGTCCTGCAGCCCAGCCATTCCCGGCATTTCAACCCACTGCAGGATAACTGATCGGCTGGAGCTTTATCAGGCATTCTCTGAAGTTTGACTTCTTTCATCTAATTCTTCTGCCCTCTTCCTGCCACCAGAACACTCTCAGTTATTAGGATCTCCATGAAATACCTTACATCCCAAACTCTCTCTTGACCTCTGCTTCTGGGAAACCTAACCTACAATATCTGTGCCCCAGGAGAGGCGAGCTCTTGGCCATCTTCCTGGGAGGGCAGACAATCACAGCTTACCCTGATTTTCCAAATAAGATCCTCCTTCGTCTCCCTAAGGGAAAGACAAATCATCTCCAAGAAGTTAAAGTATATGGGCAGCTCACTGAAAGAAATGATGGAGGCTGCCTGGGGCTGGGAGGATAGGCCTGGTGTCTCTGACTTGTAGCCTTGAACTGAGAGTGTACTTGTAGCCCATTCAGGACTCACTAGCTGGGAAACTCCAGGCCAATTCAAAGATCATAATGCTTTAGAGGGAAAGAGAACGGCTTTAAAAAAAAAAAAGACATGCACACACACATACTGACTGGGCTTGATTGTGTGGACTAAAGACTTAATTGTTAAAGGAAAAATTGCAAAACTTTGATAGAACAATATCTTTCTGACCTTATGACAGGGAAGGAGTTCTCAAAATGTACAAAAGAACAAAGAATAGAGGAGAAGAGTGATCACTATACTGACATAAAAATTGAGAACGTCTATTCATCGAGATAGGTGAAGAAACTAAAAAAGACAAACTATGGTCTGTAAGAAGATATTAGCAACAATCTATAATAATACTCACAAAGCATTCGTATTCAGAATGTCTTAAAAATTCTGATGAATAAGAAAAGTCAAGCAATTCAGTAGAAAAATAACCAAAGGACATGCACAGGCATTTCACAGAAAACAGAAAAGGCCATAAATACATGAAAAAATACATGACCTTATTAGCAACCATGGAAATACAAATGTCCATTAAAAGGGAAAAGTAAATAAGCCAAAGGCTATTAGTATCACCATTCACAAACCTTAACATTGAGTTTCTACATTAACCCAATGTTAGTGAATAAAGCAAATTATAGGAAAATGTTTGATCATGTGCATACAAATTTTATTTTTTCCCCTAAAATCAGTAAAAACTAAAAATCTAAGACAAAACTATAAAGAAGAACAAGGAAGATTTCATATCTTAGCTATTGTGAATAGTGCTACAATAAACACGGGAGTGCAGATATATGTTTGATATAATGATCTCATTTCCTTTGATTATATCCAGAAGTCAAATAACCAGATCATATGGATAGATCTATTTTTAGTTTTTTGAGGACCCTCCATACTGTGCTCCATGATGATTATACTGGTTCACATTCTCACCAACAGTGGAGAAGAATTTCCTTTTCTCTTATATCCTCATCAGTGGATGAATGGATAAAGAAAACAAGACATATATATATATATATATATATATATATATATATATATACACACACACACACACACACACACACACACAATGGAGTATTACTTTGCCATAAAAGGAATGGAATTATATATCATTCGCAACAAAATGGATGGAACTGGAGGTCATTATGTAAGATAAATACATCAGACACAGAAAGACAATACCTCATGTTCTCTCTCAGATGGAGGAGCTAAAAGCATAGTATGAATATAAAACAGTGATTACTCGAGGCTGAGAAGGATGGTGAAGGGAAGAAAGTGGGAGGCTGGATAATAGGTTCAAAAACACAGAAAGAGGAATGAATCCTAGTGTTCTGCAGCATAGTGGGATGATTGCAGTTCACAATGAACTGTTACATATTTTATGAATAACTAGATGAGAGAAGTTTGAATCACACTCCAAACATAAAACAATGACAAAGAGATGGAAACATTAATTAGCCTAATTTGATCAGGGCAAGTACTGAAATACAGGTATACATGTATTGAAATATCACACTGTGCCCCAGAAATATGTACAATCATTATAAAAAAAACTAAGAAATATTTAGAGAGATGGAAATGCCAATTACCCTGATTTGATTATTATACATTGTGTACATATATCAAGTTATTACACTGTACCCCATAAATAGGTATAATTAATATTAAGATAAAAAGAAGAAAGAGCCAGGCATGGTGGTGTGAGCCTGTAATTCTAGCAACTCAGGAGGCTGAGGCAGGAGGTCAGCCTCGGAAACTTTGCAAGGCCCTAAGCAACCAAGTGAGATTTTGTCTCAAAATAAAAACAATAAAAAGGGCTGGGAATATAGTTCAGTTATGAAGGAGGAGGATGAGGGAGAGGAGGGAGGAGAAAGAAAGAAAGAATAATAAGTGAATAGTTAACATAAAATTCAGGACATGTTTTGTTGGGGAGGAGGCAGAGACTTAAATGGAAAGTAATTAAAGTTCTGACAATATTCCATTTCAGAGGATGACAGCCTATGGGAGAAATCCAGTCCCTACCTCAGAGAACTGAGACAGTTTTTATTTATTTTTTTAAATTTTTCAATGGTTGGTGAGGAAATGAAAAGAAAACAAAGTTTGGTGACGTGTGAGAATTAGAGAATTATATGAAATTCAAAATCTCTTTTTCATCTATAAAGCTTTACTGGAATAGAGTCATCTCTGTTTATGAATCGTCTATGTCCCTCCAAACCCACTTCCTCCCATACCCAGATACCACCTCCCCCTGTTTGGAAAATTTCCTATGTATTTCTTATGTTTCAGCATGTCTTATGAGCACAAGTGCTGACTTCCCTTGTTCTGAACGATCTTCTCAGCAAACAGCATTGGAACAGAAAGGCAGTGTTTCCTTCCAGAATAAAGGGCAGGCAGGCTTGCCAGCCATTATAAATGGTACAGGTTTCCTAATCTCAGGGTTTTTGTTCTGTGATACAACCCACTATCTGGCTGTCTTTATGTTATTCAGTGTAAACTGGAGAACCACTGCAAGGAAATGCTGACACTCTGGCCAGTGCTATGACTGTAACAAACTATCTTTTGTTTCTGAGCCAGGAGTCTTGTGTCTTTTACCAGCAACTATAAAAGTAGGGTGGGGTAAAGTCTCAGACTATTCACAGTCCTTGACAATTCCCCATGTTTATGGATGAAAGAAACCAAGGCCCAGAGAGGAAAACAGATAGGATTTAGGTGATCCCCCCAAGATGAGCAGCAGCTTGAGCAGAGGAATTTGTATTTTTCCGATTCCCACTCCAGGGCTCACTTGCCTGACTCAAGGTCTCCAAAAGACGTAGGACTTAACCTTGATGCTCCCTGGGCCTCCTGGCCACACTTAAGTCCTTACCTTTCACACTACATTTGAAGGTTTGACTGACCACTCCAGTATTATTCTCCTTCTCTGCGGGCCACTGATACACGTAGACAGTGGTTCTAGAAGATCCGGCATCCAGCACAATTCCATACTGAATAAAAAGGGAAGTGAGAGTCAGAATAGCTTGGGCCTCATGGAGGATTCATTTCCCAGTGGGCCATTGAGAACCCTGAATACCTTAATTCACATTGCTTCACGTAGGTTGGGGCTGACCAAAAAGAGATAAAAGAGATAATGATTGTCTCCAAGCCATCTTTGGTTCCTTGGACTGTGGAAAGAAGAACAGGTAAGGTAGGAGAGGTTCTAAGGCATGGTTCTCAATGTTGGCCATGTTGCGAGTCCCCCAGGGAGACTTAAACATCAGGGAGCAGGTGGGTAGCAGGAAGAAGACAGAGTTGGGTATGAAGGCATGCTGAATCAGATAGATTCTCAATTAATGCTGAGTAAGATGCCCAACCTCTCTGAGTTCCCTCGTCTTTAAATGCTTTATTTTTAGAAATAAATAGAAGACCATTTGCCTGATGCTTAGTGGCTGCTCAATAAAACAGGCTCTTATCATATATAGAAAAGCCAGGCAAGTAAAGTAAATAAAATAACAAAGCAAAAAACAAAAACAAAGAAAATATGCTCCTCAAATTTACAAATCTAATTTATTGGATTAACCCCTGTTACATTCCTTTTTTAATGGTCTTCTGTGCATATGGCTTCATATATACATATGTTTAGATGTAGGTTTTAAAATCCAAATAGGATCATACTCTAGTTTTTTGTTTTTGTTTTTGCAATGTTCTTTTCTTAACAGTATTTCATGAGCATTTCTTCCTGCCAGTAAAAATAGACTAATTTTTCAATATATTCATCACATTTCAATATATTCATCACACCCTCTGTGAGATATGGAACAATTTACTTAACCAATTCCCCAATTTCCTGATTCTAGACAGCTTTCTCCTATTACAAATGCTTGCTTCATGTGAACGGGGCCAAATTCTTTAAAAGTTGCTCCAGCTTCTGAATCACAGCTTCTCCATTGTATTGAACTAGGAAATCCTGTGTACATTGGTATTTGAGCTGGGGCAACCTCTTAATCTCATCTTCTCAGTCTGATGAATGTTGATAGGAATCCTGACATGACATCCCTTGTGGAGAACAAGAGTAGCATTGTTCATAATCGTCCCAGGTGGAGATTGAACGGTGAGATTAAAGTGCAGGTCAGAACTGAAGGTAGGAAGGGAACCAGACCTCAGTGTTTCAGCCTCCTCCCTTTCCTCCATCCTGCTGCCCACCTGATCACTACCCTTCCCACAGCACCTGTCATGCCTGCTGCAGACCCCATAAAACAAGATGCCCCAAATATTTATTCCAACCATTTACATGGATGCATGTTTTCTCTGTGTAAGAAACCAGAGCTTCTGGGCAAAGAGCAAAAAGAAGGAAGAGTGTATATTCTTGTTTTCATTCCAGCTGAGAGTCAGCTTGCAGAAGAGGTGGAGCAGCCAGAGACTGCTCAAGTGGCTGTTCCTCCAGCACTTGCTGATATGCAGACAGGGCCAGCCTCAAGACCCAACTCTATTTCTAACACTGATCTATCCCCCACTGATATTTCTTTTCTTTTTTTTTTATTGGTTGTTCAAAACATTACAAAGCTCTTGACATATCATATTTCATACATTAGATTCAAGTGGGTTATGAACTCCCATTTTTACCCCAAATACAGATTGCAGAATCACATCGGTTACACATCCACATTTTTACATAATGCCATATTAGTAACTGTTGTATTCTGCTACCTTTCCTATCCTCTACTATCCCCCCTCCCCTTCCCTCCCATCTTCTCTCTCTACCCCATCTACTGTAATTCATTTCTCTCCTTGTTTTTTTCCCCTTTCCCCTCACAGCCTCTTATATGTAATTTTGTATAACAATGAGGGTCTCCTTCCATTTCCATGCAATTTCCCTTTTCTCTCCCTTTCCCTCCCACCTCGTGTCCACTGATATTTCTAAAAGTGGAAAAATTAGTCTTTAACCAGTCTTCAGAGCTAATTTGCCTAAATCAGTGGAAGTCATGTGGATCCACTGGAGGAGAGGAGATGGGAATGATTTCTTTTTTCAGTTCAGCTAGTCAGGTGATTGAATGCTTGGATGGAAAGTAACAAGTAACCCTCAATGTGGTGTCAGAAAAAGGCGTGGCTTGCACAGGGATCCAAAGGTACACTCAGTGGGTTAACTGAAAGGAAAGTCTTCCGTTTTGCATCCCCTGGTCCAAACACTTATGGGGATATAACTTGGTTGGTAGAGTGCTTGCCTTACTTGCACAATGCCCTGCATTCAAACTGCACCACCACCACCATCACTAATAATAATAATAATAATAATCAACAGTATTGAGCACTTACTATATATTAAGAACTTTGCAATGGGCTTTAGTAAGTGCTATTGCTTTTATAAGGCAGGTGTAATCATCTTCCTTTTTTGACATATGGGGACAGACCTGGGATCAATCTGTATTCATGGTTTGCCTCCTTTACGGGGTTCCCAGGAATTCAAGGGGTGACTGTTCAGGCATAGGTGCTGAACTGTTATGGCACTGTAGTCCTCCTTTGTTTAGATAGAAAGTTTCTTAAAAGCATGCTCTTAAGTTAGGGTTATGCAGAACTGGCTGGATGAGAGGTGGACCAGGGGCTTTCTAGAAAGGAAGAAACCAATTATCCAATTTGTTCTTCAAGATGTAGATCAAAATGGGCCCCACGGCATCAGAAATCCAGGCTGCTGAGCAAGGCTCGATAAGGGTTAAAAGGGACCCATTTCTTCACAGCCTGGTCCAGTGGCTGTCATTGGGGAATACCGGTGGTACATGGGAGTGTGACCTACAACAGTCTGTAATCTTGTGCCCAGTGTGGAGAATTCACATGAACTGAGCAGGTCACATGGGAAAAGTCCCTGAAACCTTAAGATGTGTAGGACCCATCTTTAACAGTGACATCATGTGGCTGCAAGAGGCAACAGGCACTGGGGTATTCATCATCGGATCAAGAAGTCCCAAGATTCTTAGACAGTTGTGATTGGGGGCAGGGAGGCGAAGCCTCAAGAGGAAGCTATTGGACTTAATGATAACCAAGCAGGTGGGGGCCTGACTAAAAATAATAGCGATGGCATCATGTTTACTCTTCAATCTTGTGGAGCAGGTCAGACCAGTAACCCAGACTGAGGACAGTTCTGACCCTTGATGGAGTTTCAATTGCTCTGCCCTTAAATTCTTATCAAGCAAGGTCAGGCAAGTCAAGGCTGGATTTAATAGCCGTCACAAGGGTCTTTCAAAGGCTGTTGGGGGAGCTGCCCTTCATATCAACTGTCAGTTGCACAGAAAGGCAAAATAGGGCTCATGGCATGAAAACACAAATGTGACAATTAAAAAGCCCCCATATTCATTTAATGTCACCTTCACAGTACTCTTCCCCGCCCCCACCCCCAACCCCCAGAAAACACTGCAAAACCCAAGGAGACCAAAGTCTCCATCCCCTGAGAAAACCTGCATATGGAACATGATCGGCCAAGGCTGCCGTTCGGCTTCTGGTTCAACTGCCCAGAACATCTGTTTTTTTCTCACATTTAATCCACCCACTTAAGCAGAATGCAACTTATGAGCTGATCTTCCCATATTATACAACTTCTTGTCTCCTGTAATGGGAGCCAAGGCCTGAGAGCAAGATTCTGAAGACACTGAAAATTCCCTCTTAACTGTCAATTAGTTGGTGGAGGGTGTGTCCAGTCCTTTCAAACCCTTGCTTAAGGCCACTGTTTCTGTTCTCTTCTTCTATATCGGCTCTGCTATTTTTCAGCCTTTGTCCTTTCTCTTTCTCTGTTTTCTCATTTGAAAGCTGGGAATAATAATCTTATTATTTACATGGACCTGTTGTTGACGGTTTCCTGCCCACATCTCCTCAGATCTTGCTGGGGTGCATAATCATCTATCACGCACCTGCCCGGAAGACTTTCTCTAGTGGCCTGAGCCTACCTGAGCACATAGTATGACAGAAATACCAGAGCAATGTCCCTAGGAGCAGCTTGTCATCCAATGATTGATGAAGTTGGTGTATAATTAGGCCCTGTTTCGGACAACCAGGAGTGAGGTGTTTGCCTTGACATCCCAACATATGGGTGAATGATGCATAGGCTCCCTGAGATACTGCTAGGACTGAGCCTCAGTTGACCACAGTGCTGACCTACTGGATCACTGGGCCCTACAGACTGCCATACATCTGCCTCACTTCTCTGTTCCCTTCCCCATGTGTCCTGGGATCATCCCCAGATGATCTTTTTGCATTTGCATCTTGACTAGGGGAACCCAACCTTGGAGAGTAGTATGAATCGAGTGTGGCCCTTTCCTCTCATGGAGCCCTCAACAATGCCTGGAATTTATAGTCACGTGCTGCTTAATGACAGGGATTTCCCCGAGAAGTGCATTGTTTGGCAATTTCATCACAATGGGGAGATCATGCAGTGTACTTAGCAGACCTAGATGGAGAGCCTACTACACACCTAGGCTATGTGGTGTAGCCTATTGATTCTAGGCTTCAAGCCTGTATAGCAGGTCACCATACTGAATACCACAAGCCCTTGCAACACAACAGTAAGCATTTGCACATCCTAAGCATAGAAAAGATACAGAAAATGGGCTGGGGTTGTGGCTTAGCAGTAGTGTGCTTGCCTAGCACATTGGAGGCACTGAGTTCGATCCTCAGCACCACATAAAAATAAATAAATAAAATAAAGGCATTGTGTCCAACTATAACTGAAAAAAAAAAAAAAGGGAAAGATACAGGAAAAATATGGGATCAGAGATAAAAAATAGTTCACCTGTATAGAGCACTTACCACAAATGGAGCTTGCTCTGGGTAAGTCAGAGAGTAGGGAGTGAATGCCAAAGGCTTAGGACTTTATCACGACTTTAGGCTTCATTAACATTGGACACTACATTCAACTTACAAAAAAGTTTTCTTTAAAGTTTCTTTAAAGTTTTCAATAATAAATTAATCTAAGATGACTGTAAAATTTTTTACTTTATGAACTTTAAAAATTTTAAAGCATTTTTAGTCTTCTTAAATAATATTTTAAAGCACCAACACATTGTACAGCTGAATTAAAAACAGTCTCTTCTACCCTCATTCTACAAGCTTTTTTCCCCTTCTTTTGTTCTCCTATTTTACTTTTTAAGTGTTTTTGTTAAAGAAACCAAGACACAAACACACACATTAGCCTAGGCCTACACACGGTCAGGATCATCAATATCAACGTCCCCCACCTCCATGTCTTGTCCCACTGGAAGGTCTTCCAGGACAACAACACACATGAAGCTGTCATCTCCTACAGTAACAATACCTCCTTCTGTAATCCCCTTTGAAAGGCTTGACTAAAGCTATTTTATAGAGTTAACTTTTTTTTTTAATAATAAGAGGAGTATACTCTAAGAATAAAAAATACAGTACAGAAAACTCATAAACAGTAACAAAGGCATTTACTATCATTACTTAATATCACACACTGTGCAAAATCATATAGGCTATGCTTTTATATGACTGGCAGCGCAGTGGGTTTGTCGACCCCAGCATCACCACAAACATGACTAATGTACTGCGCTATGACATTACAATGGTTACAATGTTACTAAGTGATAGGAATTTTTCATCTATGGGAATCTCATGGGACCAGCATGGTCTGTTTTATCCAAAACTTTATATGGTACTGACCTTACTTTTCATTACTCAATTTACTTCTCAATTTTTCCACATCCCTGAATGATGAACAGAGGACTTATATCCCAGAACAAGTAGAAGACATCAGCTGGTAACTCCTTTAAACAACCAATCCTTAACATTTATAGGATCAGAGTCAACATTTTATAAATGGAGGTGTCTGCCCTGCCCCCTCTCCCTCAAACCTGTCCTCTTCCCACCTGTGGCAAATCCAAAAAGTAAAGAAACTTATGCAGCTGTGTGTGGACAGTTCCAACCCACTGTCTTTGCTCTGTCTATATCCCCTGCCAACACCTGTCTCTTAGTCACCTCTTGGATTACCCTCAGGAGAAGAGGTGAACCCAAAGTGCAGCTACAGCTGGTTCTCTTGAAAAGTAGGGCCCACAGCAGGGGGTCCAATTATTGGAGTGTCATAGTAGTCCTAGCCTTCCTTTCCCTCCCTGAATTCATTAAACCTTCCTGCATTTGGACCCTTCCTCTCCACCCTCCCTCCTGTTCAGAGGAGGATGTATGCTGCTCCCATCAAAGGTCCATCCCTCCTCCTGAAGTCTTCATGCAGAACTCAGGATCAGGGGAATGTGGGAGATATGTGAAGAGGCCTTGGGAACAGAAGGGTCCAGGTTTCAGTTCCAATCCTGCCATTCACTAGCCACACCTAGGTTTCCTCATTTGCAAAATGGGAAGGGGTGTTGTTGTCTACTTCTATAGTTTTAACAAGGGCTAAATGAGATAAAGAAGGAGGAAATACTCACCAAACTGGAGCAGTAGGATATGAAGTATAAAGAGTAGATATTACTCTTAGTTGCAGTCTCAATTTTATATATTTTCTAGGAGAAGGCAAAGCCTGGAGCTTGGGAAAACAACTTCTAAAGGCCTTAGCTAATGTGTTGGGAGCAAGAAGATAATCTGTTTCCTCTCATGGTTGGGCACTTGAATAGGTTTATTTTTCTTCTTTTTTTTTTTTCACTCATATTATTCATAAGGGATGAGATCTTAAGTAAAACATCCCATCAAAGAACCAACTGCCATGATCCTAAGGAGATTTTAGTCTAATTCTTTTGAAGTGTAGCTTCAGAATGTTAGATCAAACCTGATCATGGCGCCCTGGGCAAAATTAGTTTCTTTAAAAAATTTCTATTTAAAATACAGCCTTTGAACAGTCTTGGCTAAAAACTGTATCTTTGGTTCCTACAATCATAGCAAGACCACAAAGTCCTCGGAGTAGGTATCACTCCCCCTCCCCCAATCTGTAGCCTCAATTATCACAAGCCCAGCAGGTCTGGACCTTCTCCATGGGCCTTAACACCATTTTCTTCTGGTTACAGTTGGGAAAAGTATTTCCCAACTCATGGTTTTAGGGTGATTGATGTCATAGCCCATTTCTTTCTTTCAATGCCAATTCTTTTGCTCTTACCTTTAGTCCTGGAGGGAGGATCTCTGGGTGGCGGATCTGGATGAGTGTGATAGCCACAAGCACCACAATGCTCACAAGCAGGACCACCAAGGTGATAATGACTGGAGTTCGGGAGAGAGCCTTGAGGCCTACAATGGGAAGACGAAGAAGAAACATGAGTGAGAAGTAGGAACCAGGTCTTTGTAGAATCCACAGACTGGGCCCATCAATATGTGCATGTCACTTTCTCTGTCTTTATAGAGACCCATGATTTTAAAATGGAATAGTAACTTGGCTTCAATACCCATTTATTCTTCCCTTCCAAATTGCAGACTAAAACAGTGTTTGCAGGGAGTGTGTGCACAATCTAGTTTTCTAGTATTTCTCAAAATGTATTATGCATGTTACTGGTCACCCCTGAGACATGTGAGATAACATTTATTATTATTATTATTTTTAATATTTGATTTTATTTTGAGGTAACATTTTTAAAAACAGATTTAAAACACATGGATTTTCTATTAAAGCAGATGAGATGATATTTTATTTTAAAATACTCTCAGGTAAAAGAAGTTAGTACTGTATGGAAATTTGTAAATAAAAACGATTTCATTTATGTGAAGTTCAAGAGCAAGAGGGTGACAGGAATCAAAATAATGATTGCCTGAAGGCATTCACTGAGAAGTAGCATGTGGGCACTTTCCAAGGGTGATGGAAATGCTTTCAATATTAAAAAAAACTGTGGGGGAATACTGGTGTGTGCATTTGTCAAAACTCATCAAGCCTTTCAAAGTCCTCTGGGGAAACTTGAAAAATCAAAGTAAAACATCTTCTTAGGTACAATTTCCCTTTAAAAAAAGATTCTTATAAATCATCCTCCCTCTCCTAAAACATACTCTCAGAAGGCAAGAATACCCAATTCAGAGGTAAAATTTAGGATTTATCCATTTCACTGCATATAAAATATACCAATTTTTTTTAAAAAGGTAAAAGAGTCAACTAAAATGATTGTCTAAGTAATAATCTTGATTGAACTATTAAAGCATAAATATTAAATGGCTGAAAAACAATAAACACTAGCAGAACAGAAAGATCACTGGATTCAGAGAATCCTAATATGTCTATTACCAATTGCCTATTTAAATGTAAATTAGTTAAAATAAAATATTTATTTCATCAATCTCCCTAGTCACATCTCGAGTATTCAATAACCACATGTGACCTTGTGACCCCCATATTGGCCAGAGAAGATCCAGAGCAGTTCTATCACTGAAGAAAGTTTTCTTGAAGAGCAGAGGGGTAAATCCTGCCTTATTCCAGATCATTTACTCTTAGGACCATCATAACCTACGCTTTACTGTTTCTTTGTTTCTAGGAGACATCTTTCGTGGAAATAAACAAGGCCCTGTATGTGTCGTCATAATAGAATTAGATACAGCTCCAATATCCAATTGCATCACAACACTCACTACTTGGGGAGGGCAGTCATGCAGCAGGTCTCAATGGCTCAGAATAGCCCTGTTTCCCCTATAGTATAGAGGCAGTCACAGACATTTCCTGATGTTAAAGGTGGTCACTCCTGCATCTTAAGTCTCCTACCTTGCCATTGGGAGTGTAAACCAGAGGGAGGGCAATTTGTCAGTATTGACCAAATTGCAAATGAGCATACCATCTGACTCAAAATCTCACTTCTGGGAATATATCCCACATAACTAGCTCCACGTGTATAAAATGACTTTGCGTAAAGCTTCTCACTGCAGAATCATTTGTAATAGCAACTGGAGGGAAGCCAACTTCTGTGGGCTGACCTTCAGAGCATCAGAAGGGGTTCTAGATCACTCCTCTGTTGTTCCAGAGAAAGTACAGGACCCAGCCAGTAACCAGTTAATCCAGAGACGAACATCTGCATCAGATTTCAACAATTTCACATTGGTGTCAGTAATAGAGGTTTAAGAGATTTTTTTCCCCCCAACAAGACATGGTATAGATTTAATCTGCCAAGTTAAACTTGTACTTTGGAAGGCATGTAACAGATCAGTCTGTGTGTGGGATGTTAAAGTATGTGCGTTAACATTTCAAAGTGTTTCGGGGAAAACCTGGAAATCAAAATAAACCAGCTTCTTAAGTACAAATTTCCCTTTACAAAAAGAAAAAAAATACAATACACATAAATGGCTCTTTATCTCCTAAAATCATATTCACTTGGAAGACAGGAATACCCAGTTGAAGACATGACTAAAGAATGTCTTTCAAAGGGGGAGGGGGATGAGATATGTAAGCAGTCTCCTGACCACAGCCACGGGGCTGGCCTCCTAAATCCTCTGTGCTTCAGCAGTTTTCAAGTAAAAAGCTATGATTACTTTAAGCAAACCCTTGCCCCAGCAGAAAAGCTTGTTACAACGCAAAATGGACTAGGCTAGGTCTCACTCATTTAAGAAATGCAGCCTAGAGCTGTGCTGTCATTAGGGTTGGACAAACACTGTAATTGCAAGGTGTCTACCTGACCATGGGGAGGCCAGAGCCTTCTGAGCTTCCACATGAGCAGTTCTATAAAAGTGCTGCAGAGGCAGGCAAGGCAACTTGGAAGTGTGCATTGGGGAGAGAAAACATTCCGTACTTGTGCCTGCAGTATCAACCCCAATACTGACCCACGGTGGGGTGGAGGGTATTGTAGGCACCGTGCCAGCGACAACATTTGGATGGAAATACCGGAAAGATTTGAGTACATTACAATTCATCACAAAATTAACAATATTCTCAAGCACACAATATTTACACACAGCTGGGTCAGGGAAACCACAAAGGCCAAATTAATGGATTATACAAACCGGAAAAACCATTTAAGCGAAACATGCATGTTAGTCCTTGTTTTGTGCAGCTTTGATGAAAAGCATTACTTTTCTTTACCTGAGAAACGCCAAGGGCAAAACCTGGGTGAGCAACCGAGTTTCAAACCCATGAGGTTAAACAGTCAGTGGCAGGGGACTTGAAGGGAAAATGGAGCTGAAGCTGGGGCACTCCTGATTTGACAAAACCATGCTTGCTGCCTACTGAGGGACACGAACCTGCTTGCTCACACGGTTGGCGGGTCACGACAGAAAACATCTTTTCTTCCCAGCTGCAGGTGAGAGAACACAGGATGACAACGCGTGTATGGACCCGGCTCCAGAAGTTCAAAAAAACGTGCACCCATTGAAACACATATCCACTTCATTTCCTCCAAATCAAGACGTCATCCAGTACCATGAGCTTAAACCCAGAACTTTCAAGATAGACCCAAAGCTGGAACTTAATTCTAGCGTCCCCCGCCCCATGCAAGGCAAAGAAGGATGGCTCTCCTGAAACTTTAAACTGCAAACAATTTTTGAAAATTAAAAGTCCTCCCCCCCACCCCCTGCAGATTGTTCCACCTGTACACACCACCCAGGCAGAGCAAACCTTCCTCCTATTATGAACATTCATGAGGCTGCGGCAAGGCTTTGCTTTCAAGCACAACAGCAAGGCAGGTTTATGTTTGTGTGTGTCCGTGGCCCTCGAGCCCGGAGTCGCCCCTTAAAGACCGGGCAGGGGTACCTAGAGTTGCCGGCTGGAGATGGTTGCCAGAGGATGCCAGGCCCTGGCCTCCAGCGCCCCCAGATCCGGGGAGTGGGGTGGGGGGTCACTCTGGATTGCGTCCCCACACAGCTGTGGGCATCTAAGCGCCTAGCGCATCTCGCGCTCGGTTGGGGCACTCGGTTAAAGACGCGTCCGCAGCTCGCGGGCAGGGCAGGGACCACCCCCCGCCGCCCGAGGATCTAGGGCTCTCGCCCTGCGGCCCTCTGCGGGAATCTGATTTCAGTTCTTGCCCTCCCAGTTCTCACCCTGGGAGGGAGCCACCCGTTCCCTCTTCCGCGGCTCGGGTGCCAGGTTCCCTGACTTTACCTGTGCGCTGCTGGTTCCAGAAAGGCGACAGGCGCTGGAAGTATTGGCGGAGGCGTCGGGGAGGCGGGGCGAGCTGGCGCGGGGGTGGCGCAGCCTCCGCTCGGGACCGCCCCCTCAGCGGTGTCAAAGCCAAGAACCTCTTCACCTTCTCTATTCCACTGGCGGGCGCCCCAGCCTTCGGTGGAAGCGGAAGGGAGAGGGTGAGCGCCTAGTTGTTGAAGACAGTCCCTGCCTGCCCCTGGGGCCCACAGTCCCTCGCCAAGTTATAGCCAAATAGCACTTCACCTTCCCTCTTGTAGTTCTCTCTGCTATCACCTCAACCCAAAGTAGAAGAGGAAGGGGCCAGATTTTGCCCTAGATCCCTCGTAAGCCTGTGTAGGGGAGAAGGAAGGGTCCTATCCATTGCCGGCTTCGCTTCCATCTTTGTCAAAGCAAAGAAGCTTTTGATGTCTTCTAGTTTCCTTCACTGTCACCCCAAACCTAAGTGGAGGAAAAATAGGGCCAGGGGCCAAGTAGTGACTAGATATTCCTGGGGCATGCATGACTTTGTGCAGTTCCCCCACCCAGGTGGAGGGCCCTCTACTGTCTTTGGGAGCTGGAGTGGAACACCGATAATGTTGGTGATGAGCCAAGTAGGCAGGTGGGTCCCTGGGTCGCGTACTTTTGAAGCACAAAGCAATGCACTGAGACATTCCCTTTGGTATTACAGCAGAACCACTTTGACTACGCCCAGGGACATTCCCAGTGATTACTAAGCAATGTTCTCCCCTTCCCTGTTTTTAAAATGAGCATTTTTAAGCCAAAATTTAGGGCTAGCTCAATCTAGAAGAGGCCAAATAGGAAAGATTGGGGGGCGGGGACAGCAACACCTGGGCAGCAGTGATCCCAAACCCTAGGAATGTTTCTAATGCAGTAGCAGGCAGCTCCTGGTCCCTCTGAGTGACCTCAAGGACCCTGGAATTATCCCAGGAAGAAGCCTGAATGGTCCGTGTTGGTCCATCCTTCCTTGTGGCTCCTGGGGGTCCTGGGCCTGCTCACCCTCTTCTAGAGATACACCAGTTTCCTATGGTGTGCAGTTGATAGAAAAGCCTCTATGAGGTAAGAGGGCCTTAAGAGAGAAGTGTCTTTCTTAGAGATGTCTGAGCTTGGAAAGGAGGGTCCCAAGTGAGGGCTGTGTGTGTGCACATGTCCACATGCATTGTGTGAATGGGCCCTTGCTGTTGTATTGGTACAGGGTCTGCACTGGGTGTATCAGACATTCAATGAGTGCTGACTACAATATGAGTCTTATTTTCTTTGAAAGCTGTGGGCCAATGAAAGACAAGGCATATGACAGAGCTGAGGGTCCCTCTGTATTTAGTATTCCAGACCTGAGGTCAGTAAGATCTGCTCCAAAGGATAGATGCTGGTCCTAGCATCTCCAGTGATTGATTTCCTGGGAACTGGGAAAAGTGATTTCCTAGGAAGCCTGGAAATACAGTTGGTGATAATATGCAAAAATAGCAGGGATTGGTCCATTCCAGCTTTCCTCTCTGCTTGCCTCAATCTACAGGTCTCATAATTTAGTTTTGTGAGCACTAACCTCCTTTGAGAACCTTACAGTCTCCAACTCACCTTTAAATTTTCCAAACTTCTCTGGAAACCATCTGTTCCAGGCACTGCACTAACTTCTTTGCAGTCCCCAACTAGTCCTAGTCATCCATAGGCACTTTGCCATCTTCACTATGTAAGGGGACACACATAAACACACACACACACACACACACACACACACACACTTCCCCATCCAACCCCACATAGAAAAACTCATACTCCTTTACAGCTCTTTTTGATTATAAAATAATACAGATGTGCTTCACTTGATATCAAAGCATACTATAAAGCTATAGCACTTTTAAAAAGCCTAGTTTGGGCACAGGAATATACCAAGAGATCTAAAGGATCAGACTAATGGGTGTGGAACTTAGCATGCAGAAATTGAGCGGTTGAAAGAACATATTCTCCAATAACTAGCATTGAAACCACCACTTTGGGGAAAAAAATCCCAATCACTCACCAAGCACACACACAGAAAAAAAGATTTTAGATGGATTAAAATTTAAATATGAAAAAGAATTTAATGTTCTGAGAAAATGTAGAAAAGCATTTTTATGATACTTGGGAAGGAACAGTCTCTCCTAGCATGAGATCAAAGCAGGAAGATAGTCAACCAAACTGAATCCTTAAAAATGAAAAATTACTGGCTGGGCCTGGTGGTGCACACCTGTAATCCCAGCAGCTCAGGTGGTGGAAGCAGGAGGATTGCAAGTTCCAAGCCAGCCTCAGCAATTTAGTGAGCCACTAAGCAACTTAGTGAGACCCTGTCTCTAAATAAAATACAAAATAGGGCTAGGGATGTGGCTCAATGGTTGAGTGCCTCTGAGTTCAATCCCTGGTACCCATTCTCACCCCTCCACCCCCATCCCCGAAAAAAGAAAAATCACTGTATTGAAAAATATGCAAACAAACATAAATTGTGGGGGAAATGCTTAAGAATGTAATAGCAAGGAATTTAAAACCATAATATAGACTAAGGTCCTAGGAATCCATAGAACAATAGGAATGTCTAAAATAGAAAGATAGACAAATAACATGCACTGGCCAATTTAAAAAATAAATATAAATGATGACAATTAAAACTTTAATATCTTTAAACAAATTTTTTTTAAAAAACTGATAAATTTAGCAAAATTTAAAAAGATGGCAGGGGCTCTGGTTGGAGCAGGTGGGTATGGGGAAGCAGGCCCTTAAGAGGCTTCTGCCACATGATATATCTTCCTTGCTCTCCAGATACTTTGGGCTGGTGTGTGTTCCTCTCCCAGACGTTCCACAAGGCTCAGGTCTGAGTCCCCTTTTCTTGCCTCATTCTGTCCCATTCATGTCTATGACTTCTGTTCCACTCACAGAAGCCTCTCAATTCATAGTTCCTGCTCAGGATTTCCTTCTGTCCATGAGGACTTAATGAATTTCATTTGACTTCTTCTGGGTGTCTTACAGGCATCTCACATTTCCTAAGTCTCAAGCTGAGCTCTTTATCTTCCCCCCACCAAACCATCATCAGCTCCTCAAATGTTCCTTATCTCAGTGGCACCCACCCTCGTCCAGACAAACAAGGCCACGACCTGAGCTTTGTGTTTGATAATCTTGCCCTCATTCCTCATAATCAGCCAGTCACGGATTAGGGCCAATTCTAACCTCTTAATCGTCTCTCCCGGACATCCTTCTCTCTATCTCCACCACCGTGATCTGAGCCAGGGTTTCTCCATTTCAAGTTGAATAATTTTTGTAATAGAAACTGTCCTGTGGATTATAGGATGTTATTTAGTAGCATCCCTGATCTTTACCCATCTGCTAGGAATGTTATCCCCCCTGCCCACAACTTGACAAACAAAAATGTCTCTAGACATCATGAAGTGTCTTCTGAGTGATGAAATTTCCCTGGTGAGAACCCCTGGTCTAAGCTACTGTACACTCTTTCCCAGATGTCTCCTAATTGTAGCTAATCTCTGTGTTCATTTCTTCCTTTCTGATCCATTTTTCTCACTGCTGCCAGCCCCATCTCCTTATTTATTCATTATTTTATTTTGCCTTTTGGAATAGTTGTACATTTGACGGGTGTGGTGAAATGTTCCCATACATGTACATCTATATGTTGTGTAATGATCAAATTTGTAATGATCAAATCAAATATTCATCACTTCAGATACTTTTTATTTCTTGTGGTTATAACTTATCAAAATCCTGTAAAGAACATTTTTTATGATACTGGGAAAGGAACAGTTCCTTCTAGCATGAGGTCAAAGCAGGGAGATAGTCAACCAACTTGAATCCTTAAAAGTGAAAAATCACTGTATTGAAAGATTTCCAAATACACATAAATTGTGGAGAGGTGCTCGTGATTTCGAAGTATGTGATAGAATATTTTAACTATAGTCACCCAAATGTGCAATGGAACCTCATAACTTATTTCTTCTAATTATAATTTTGTACCCATTGACCAATATCAAATACGAAGCTCTCCATCCTCTCTTTCTCTCATCCTTCACAGCCCCTTGTCACCATTATTCTATGAGGTACTTCTATGAGATCAGCTTTGTTTGAAATTCCACAAATGAGTAAGGTCATGTGATATTTGTCTTTCTGTGCTTGGCTTACTTGACTTAACATAATATCCTCTAGATTCATCCGTGTTGCAGAAATGACAGGATTTCATATTTTTTAATGGCTAAATAGTATTCCAGTGTACATATGTACCATATTTTTCTTTATCCATTCATCAATTGTTTCCATTTCTTGCAACTAGAGCTGCAATAAACAATGGAAAGATTTTTTTTTATTATACTATTTTCACTTCCTTTGGATAAATACCCAGTCATGGGATTGGGTGGGTCAGATTCTATTTTTAATTTTCTGAGGAACCTCCATTCTGTTTTCCATAAAGGCTGTAATAATTTACATTCCCACCATATCCTTGGCAGCTTTTGTTATTTTTTTTATCTTTTTGATAATAGCCATTTCAACTGGGATGAGATGGTATCTCATTGCAGTTTGGATTTGCATTTCCCTGAAGATTTGTGATGTTGAGCAATTTTTCATACAGCTGCTTCTCACCATGCCAAAACCCTCCCTGCTGCCCATCTGTCACTGATACAGAATCAATCTTCTTTATGACCTAGAAGCCCTTCAGGGGATGATCACTATCTCCCTGTACAGCCTCTAAGTCCCATGACACTTCTCATTTATGCCCTGAAAGCAGACCAACCTTCTTTGAGTCTTTCAAAGGTACCAAGCTTACTCCTGCCACGACCTTTGCACCTATTTCCTCGGCTGGTTGTGCCTTCCCATTCTTTCATTCTCCTCTGATGAGCTCTGTGTCATACTTCTCTCACTTGAGCCATTTTTGCCTCAGGAGCACTTCCCAGTCTGGATCACACAGCCCATTGGGCCAGGTTCTGGAGTTGTGTGCTCCCTTAGCAGGCATTCCTTGCATCCAGAGTTTTAATGTGGTAATTGTCAAGCAAGTGATACCTGTTGCCTTTCACCATGAGC